CAGTCTGTCTGGAATGACATGAAGAAACAGAACAAACTGAGACAGACTCAATCCAGAAGAACTGTGGCAACGTCTCCAAGATGCTTCAAGAAACCTACCTGCAAAGCTACAGCACTGTTAAAAGTTTTAGGCACTTGTGTAAAAACGCTGTAAAATGAGGATGCTGTCAAAAATAATGTCATACATTTTCTTTATCAATTAGCTTCTATTAACTCAGTTAAATCAACATTTGATATGACCATTCTTTGCGTTTAAAGCAGCTTTTGCCCTATAGGTGCACTTGCGCATAATTTCTGTTTACAATGAACAGATATGGGGGGAGGGGGGAGCATACATTGGGTGCAGGCAGGGCGTATGTATATAATGAGAGAAGAGGGAAGGGGGTGGTCTAAAGTATAATTCTATGATTGGGAGGCAGGAGCAGGACGATGTATATAATGTATGGTAAATAAGTGAAGACTAACGATACATATGAAATGTGATACATGTGCTGTATGTGTGAGGCGAGTAACAAAAACAGAATATCATTCAGTGCATAATGTGAAAGGGAGGAGGAGGAGAGGACGGACACGTAGAGCAGGAGAGTGTCATGAACACAGAGAAAGTATGTGGAGTGTATTTCACATTCACTCAGAGCTGGTGTCCAGACAGTCTGTTTTTGCACACTCCCAGACTCACCCTGCCTGAGAACTAACAGAATTGAACAAAGAACATTTTCAGGGTTTTGCTCTGGCGTTACCTCTGCCTCTGCAAGTGACCGGGCATGTTTGAGAGCGCAAATGCTGACCGTTTTGTATATGTGGCTTTAAGACATTTGAAGTGTACTAAAATAAGAACGTACCCCATATTATATCTAACGAACGATGCACCTAAACATTCAACAGTAGTAAAATATATTCAATGTGCTATGGAAAATCAATTCAGGATGATGCAGGAGCTGCTCGATGTCTGAACCGTCCGAAGCTTTGTCTTCCGCTATGCTATTTTTGGCCAGGAGTGTATGTGATGGCTGCGGGATGGTGGCAGAGGGAGGACCAGAGCAAAACCTTGCTTTGCATTTAGTGCTCCTTGCATCAGGAAAAGAGTGGACTGGAGAGAGGGATGGAGAGAGAGAGAGAGAGAGAGGAGCATTATGGTCAGATTCTGGGCTTCTGGGCAGAGGCTCATTGGAGAAAGAGCTTTTAAGTGGATATTCAGGATCAGGTTCCCCCCATTCACAAATGTAATGAGCTAAAAAGCCCCACTGATCCTGAGTCTGCACTTAAGAGAGCACTTCACTGATTCCCGTGGGTGGGCAAGGAAAGGGACAACTATTTGTTTGAATACAATTCTCTTTTTAGGACAGTGCATTCCAGTAGTTATCATTCATTTTGTTTCATATTGTCAGTTTTGAGAAGGAGAGTCTTTTTGTGTCTGTGTGTGTGTATGTGTGTGCATGTGTGAAAAAAGAATACTGCTCGCATTTCGTACAAAGGGCTGGCCTGGTACGCACGAGTCCGAAACTTTGGGCTCTTGTCTGGGTAACATTCTCAAAGATGAAGAGTGAACACAGCGGGCCTTCTTCTCATTCCCTCTGCTTTGTTCCTCTGCTTCCATAAGGTTCACTTCAGTCTTTACGTCGTACATCCTGGAGGGTTTTGAAGTCTCTTCCCCGTGGGAGACGTCCAAGGCATGGAGTCATTGCTTGGATGATTTTTCTAAGTTGTTCTCCAGCTTTCTCCTTTGCAAGTTTGCTTCTTTTTTATTGAAAATGAAATGAAAATGAGATGGGTAAACGTAGCCTACTCAAATGGTTTTTAAAAGGACATTTGCAGCATTGTTATAAAATATTTGGGAACAGATACAAATAGGAAGTTTTCTGCCATTTTCTAAATTGCTAATTTTTCCATCCTTGTCATTTTGACTTTACCAGCCTCAACACTAATCCAATAAATAAATAAATAAATATCTTTAAATAAATCAATTAAAATGTAAAATATTTAAGTTTTTTTGACATTCACTTCATTTTGTTGATGGAAATATTTCACATCTCAGCTCAAAAATATAATATAAATATTGAAATGGAAAGCAAAAAAGACTTTTGTGGACTTCTACTTATGATGGACGTTCTACCAGGAATCACATGAGAAAATGGTGGAGGCTTTTGCATTTTTTTCTCACGCTATGTCTTTGTATGACACAAGGGAGTGACTGGCTATTTTGTTCCTCTTGTTCGGTCTCTGTGTGAACATGTCATAGGAAATCTAGATGCCTTCTCATCCCTCTGTGCCCTGCTTAGTGAGTGGGGTGGATCTGAGATACTTTCAGAACTGCGAAGACTTAAAACTGGCCAATTTTGCCAACTGTAGCTTGCAGTGGGCAGCTCTCCACTGTATATCTGACTGATTTTGGATCTACAACATATCACAGAGTTCAGGATCTACAACACAAGCTTGAACAATCAGTGTTTAACATAGCCTATACCTTCAACACGTTAACATCTCACTAAAGGCCTAATCCGTCCTCAGCTCATGAAGGTATAGTCACATAGACCTTGTGTTACAAAATTTAGATCGCCGTTCTAAAAATCCCTATTCTTTTCTTTACATAGTGTTCTAGAAATCCTTTTTTGTGCTCCAAGTGGTGTTAAGAATGGAGAACTTCCCACTTTTTCCCACGATGTTTGCTTTTCTCTACCTCACACAGCTCATTGTGATTTTCTGATGGATCATTGCTTATGATAATGAGGATGATGATGATAATGAGGATGATGATAAGTTTTGGAGACATTCTTTCCTGTCCCACTTGGTGTTTGTTCCTCCTTGAATAGTTTGTTGCCATTAGATCACAGGATGTCCATCGGATGTCAATCTCCTTGTTTGTAGTGTATGAAATAATTTATAGCTGGGGTTTATATTAAGCGATACATCTTGCTTCCATTTTTCAAATCCTTGGTTCCTAACAAGCATAAGTGATCGTATTTTTTTTCGTCAGATGATTATTTGCATGTAAGAACACTTCCATGTGGATAGACTCCTGACTCTCCTATTGTCGCAGTTGGATCCCAGGGTTTCCGCTAGTGATGTGAAAATCAAGGCTGAGTATACCTGTTGTTGTGTACTGTGCAGTATATATATATATATATATTGTATTTTGCATAGACCACTGTGTGGAATACTGTATTCCAAAATACAATGTGGTAAATAAATGGCATTAAATTATATAATAATTATAATAATAATATAATTGCACTTTTTTTAAATTTTAAAATAAAATAATAAAGTGTGATAGTGCTATTATATTTTAAAAAGAGAATATTAAATAGCCTGTTGTTGTGTACTGTGCAGATGGACTATGAGGGAGTCGTGTCTGGGGGGAATCAAGAGCGGGGATTGTTCCCTCCCGCTCGACAGCTTGTCTGATTAGTTCACTTAGGGTTGAGACTGGGTCCCATTTGAGGACAGGAGGCGAGTTTTATCCTTGCCAGACCCCTTTCTTTGTAGTACACTCACACTACCGCCAATACTGCTCCCTTCTCCTTGATCGCTGCGCTCTGCTCGCTCACCGCAATCACTTCCGCCCTCCGAGCGACGAGAGTTCTGCCGGGTCGGTGTGCTGGGTGGGCGAGACGAAAGCCCATTTTTTTCATCTGGGAGAAGAAAAACAGAAAACATGAGGGTGGGGAATGAAAACATTTTTGTTAATTGAAATAAAAATAAAAGTACACTAAAATCTAAAATAGAACAATAAACTTTGGCTGCCCTAAAATATGAAAACTTAAATTAAAAAATATATACTACTAAGCTGAAACTTGCAATGACAGAGTAAAAACTAATGTACACAAATAATCAGGGGTGCACATAAGTTTTTCAGGCTGGTTCTCTTAAAGAGCACCGGGATATTTGGTTTGGTCCTCACAGTGCACATAGTGTGACCCATTAAATATAACTATTTAAAACAAAATAATTAATAATAGTGATAATAATATATTATAATAATATAATATAATATAATATATTATTTTTTTAAATTTTAAAATAAAATAATAAAGTGTGATAGTGCTATTATATTTTAAAAAGAGAATATTAAATAGAAATACAATTATTTTATAGTAAACTTAAAAATAAAATGCTAATATTTACTTTTTTATATATTAATTTTCATAATTTTCAAACTTAAAATCAGCAAGCTTTCATTTTGGCGGGTTGCCGGCAAGTAAGCATGTGCGCTGCCGGGTTTAGCGCTGCCAATTGAAGAGCATCAGTGAATGAAATGTCAGTTTTGCATTGTGCTTTGAAAACGGCAGCCTAGATTTATGCTTTCAGTTTGAATAGAAATCTTATACAGTATTACAGTTTGTCGAACTAAAATGGTAATTGTGCATTAACAGCTGTCAACCACGGTATGCAAATGAGCGGTCTGAACTTATTTACACAGTGCATTTTTTATTTTGGTCACGCATGCGCACATGTGCACCCCTGTAAATAATACAAAAAAATATAATAAGATTAAATGCGACAAAAACTAAATTAAAATGAATTCAAATATATGATAACATTTAATTTATTGTGTATGATTATATGTTTTTGGGTGGAATTGTAGCGTGTAACATTCACCTGCAAGCGCCTGCACAGAGGGCTGGTCATGTGTACTGAGAAGCTGAGCTTGAATGGTCTCTACCACTCTTTTAAACCTGCGACTAGGACCTGAAAAACAATATCATCACATCTGTAGAAATGACAGCATGTACAGACTCATGACACTGGCTCTGTCGTCTTTTTAAATACCTGATAATAGGGTGAAGGTGACGCTGTAGATGCCGGTCTCCCTCCTTCCCTCCCTTTCTCTCTCTTTCTCCCTCTCTCGTTCTCTCTCTCCTTCAGAGAAGGCGATGTCAACCTGAAATTTGACAGGTTTCTGGAAGACAGACGGACCTCCGGAGGACTTGTACTCCGCCCGGAAACTTGTCTGAGAGATGACACTGTGACTCAGGGAGGGAATCTAGAGGAGAGCAGAGATGTATATCAAAGTTTGAATCTTCAAAAGAGAATGAACAAAGCTTATTTGAAGTGAAGAGGAAAGGAAACACCTAACATTAAAAATATACTAACTGATAGAAAGGCATGGACAATATCAGCCTTGATTGAGCTTAGTGGTTTGTCTCTGATCACCACAAATATTTGCTCTTCCCTCTCCAGACTGATGAAATTTCCAAACCATGACTTCTTTGCCAGCCTATAGAAAAATATGAAAATATATGCAGATAAATACACAAAATATATAGTACACATTATTGTTACTGTTTCATGGCTCTCATTCTACACAGAATACACATTAGGGACTTTTTAACATCATGAATGTTATGTTTGAAAATACAGAGTCTTCTCATCTGCCTTCATTCCTACAACTGTACACATTCAGGGAAAAGTAGCCAGATATGCTGAAAAAGCTTCAGAACAAACACTAAATCATTGGAGCAGGTTTTTTCTGTAGCAACATCGAACGTATGACACATAGCTTACGTAAAATGCACCAATGTTAAAATTCAGTAACTGTTTTCATGTTATGGCTGATAACCAATAAATGACTAATATTAAAATTCTACTTTGTGTAAATGAATGTAAAATTAAACACAAAAAATTTAAACCAGTGGTTTTAAATGCTCCAAGTGAATTTAAGTATCACATTATAATGTACAATGTAATTTCAGTGTTATGTACTATTATAGTATATAATAGTACATATAGTATATTTTCATTTAAGTTTTTTTTTTACATTTAAGTTTTTCATCTAATATATTTTTTAATTTTATTTCCCCTTTATTTTTTTTATTTATATTATATTAAATAACTGTTTGTTTTAAAGGTTAATATGAAGATAATGGTGAAGGTAATCCAAAGGTACAACCCCAATTCCAGAAAAGTCGGGACATTTTGTAAAATGCAATAAAATCAAGAATCTGTGATTTGTTCATTCTCTTTAACTTTTATTTAATTGACAAAAGTACAAGGAAAAGATTTCCAAAGAAGGCCATAAGTATTTTCACCAACAAAAATAATGGTTTTAAGCCAATTATTTCTATTTTTTGCTTGCTATAGTGTGTCAGAAGGAAATAACAGTTTAAATTCATTTTGCCATTACTTGTAATAATCCTGTGAGATTGTTGTTTGCACAAGGAGTCTGACAACAGATCTGATCTCAGCGCCATCCAGTCTGTATGAAATATCATGAAAAATCTGAAAAAACTGAGACAGACTTTAATCAGAAGAGCTGTGGCAACTGTGAAAAGCGGTTTTAAACACAGAGGACGGTCACACCAAATATTGATTTGTTTTAGTTAATAGAAGTTAAATGATAAACTCTATTTATGACATTATTTTTGAAAGCATGCTCACTTTACAGCATTTTATAAAAGGGCCTAAAACTTTTAACAGTGCTGTAGCTTTGCAGGTAGGTTTCTTGAAGCATCTTGGAGACGTTGCCACAGTTCTTCTGGATTGAGTCTGTCTCAGTTTGTTCTGTTTCTTCATGTCATTCCAGACAGACTGATAATGATCAGATCAGATCTCTGTGTGCAGCACTGGCTGCTGTCAAGACAAAAATCTGGTCCCACTTTATATTAAGTGGCCTTAATATAACCCTAACCTTACCCGTTTCCCACCTCTATAGCAGCAAAGGTGTTTTGCAATACAATATGAACACAATAAGTACATTGTACTTATTTTTTGATGTAAGTACATAGTAGTTAAGGCCACTTAATATATATAAAATCTCACTGGATTATTACAATTAATGGCAAAATGAATGTTTGGAATATTTGCAATGTTTGTAAATGTAAACTGATATTCCCTTCTTACACACTACAGCAAAAGATAGATATAACTGGTTTAAAACCATTTTTTGTTGGTGAAAATACTAATGGTTTTTAATACTGATTTATTCCTCTAAATACTTACTCTGGGCTGGACTCTGGACTCTGACAGGTAGGAAGAGAAAGGACAGAAGGATGGAGAGGGAAAGAGGAATGGAGAGATGGACACAGCAATGGTCATGAGCGTTAATGAAAGATATGGTATATGATTATTAACATTAGAATTAAACTGAGAAGAGTTAGGAAAATGATGCAAAGCTCTTTCGAGAAGCATGTGAAATCTAGAATCAATTAGTAAACGATTGTTAGGTCATTAATTAAGATGCAAAATGCAAGTTAAAACAAGCTTAACATTTGTGTGTGTGTGTGTGTGTGTGTGTTTGGTGTGGATAATGACTCCAGTATGAGGACAGTATGAGATAGATGAACATAAAAAGAGCAACTGAATCCAGTTCAGCTTTGCTATTAATAGCACAATATCAAAAACAAGCACGAAACCTTTCACCATTGTAAAATGAACTCTACATAGTAGTATTTTACTTCTAATCCAATATCAGTTAAAGGTGTGGAGTCACTTACTCGAGGGCTGCTGAGGGGACTGGATGAGAGGCCGGTTGAAGCTCCGCTAACTGACCGAGACCTGTCAGAACACCAGGACATATCAGTCAAACATCCCTTTATGTTCATGGATATGTTCATTATCTTAGATATGCACACCTCTAGCGTGAGTAAAAGCTTAGTAGGGAATTCACTAGGAATGAATTGCACCAACTTATAGTGCTGTTCACCTGCATGCTTTACTCTGTGGTTCTGGATATATTTTTGATCATTTGGTCATTGTTTGATGAATTAGGAATATTTTACATGGTATGCAGCAACCGCAAGTTCATTTTGAATATAAGAAACGGGGCCAGCAATGGCTGGCATTCACAGGAGTCCAGGTGCTTCGTCTTACTAGCTAGCAGCGCATACTGTAGAAGATTAAGAAGTTTTTTTGGTGTCATTGACCAATCAAAATTGAGCTTAATCACAACCGTCATTTAGCTTTTACGTGGTCAAAAAACAACATGAAAGAAAATAAGATGATACTCGCTGTTGCTGATTTTCCTGTGCTCTATGATGCCTAAACGTAACACATACATTTGATTAAAATTTCTTTAATTTGGTTTAATTAGCTTTCACTTAGATACAGCAAAAATACAATAGTTATACAGTAATTGCCTCAGATAAAGAATGTTTTCACTTGCTAGTACAAGTGCTTCCTGTTTGTACACATAATAAAAACCTGCTGTGTACCATGTAAAATTCCTTTTCACTGCTGTCATGATTAATGATCAATAGAACATGCATACAAACATTTCTTTTCAATTAAATTATGAGAGGCAAACAGCTTTTTTGTGAATAAGTTGCATCTATAATGAGTCTACCTTACATAGAAAAAATAAATAAATGCACAAGAGCGCATGTGCAATATTTAATGGTAAAAACTTTTTTGTGCTAAAATAGGCCTATCACACCAAAGTTGTGCAAGTCATCGGTGAATTTTTGCCCATTTTTTTTTCTGCATTTTTTGAAAGGCACTTGAAGTTGAACAGAGGACACGTGTGGTACATCAAGTTTGACTTTCAGATGAAGGTTAATACAAAGTTATCAAACAGTTGGCATGTACCTCTGGCTATGTGCAGAGGTATCCAGTGCTCTGCGGGGAGGTGTTGGAGAGCCCTGCTCTGTCACACTCAGTACCTCCAGACTCTTTCTCTCCGGCCGACAGCGCCCATGACGGGTCAACATGGGCGAGTCCACCCGCTTACGGGGAGGATCTGATCACACAACCACAACAACACACACACACCCACTGTAACACAAACATCTACTGTGTGCTCTTCATGAACAAGTCACATTACAAACCTTACTATATCCATGATGGAATCTAAGGTTTGTTTTATATATATATAAAACTATATATAAAATATTCAACTGCAATGCAGCACAGATTATCTGTATTACAGTGTTAGAAGGGAAATTCGCATAGAAGCTGAAAAAGAAGTCCTTTTCAATGTCTTGATGAGAGACAGAAAGCTTCTAAGCAACAGGGTAAATTGTACCAGGATACAAGATGTGCTATATGAGAGACGAATCATGGCATGACAGTGAAATGATGGACTAACATATTAGGGTTGCACATTTTAGTAAAAAAATCTTATTGCAATTATTTCCTCAATTTTTGGCAAGATTCTGTCAGATGTGCACTGTACAATAAACAGGGTCAACATGGGCGAGTCCACCCGCTTACGGGGAGGATCTGATCACACAACCACAACAACACACACACACCCACTGTAACACAAACATCTACTGTGTGCTCTTCATGAACAAGTCACATTACAAACCTTACTATATCCATGATGGAATCTAAGGTTTGTTTTATATATATATAAAACTATATATAAAATATTCAACTGCAATGCAGCACAGATTATCTGTATTACAGTGTTAGAAGGGAAATTCGCATAGAAGCTGAAAAAGAAGTCCTTTTCAATGTCTTGATGAGAGACAGAAAGCTTCTAAGCAACAGGGTAAATTGTACCAGGATACAAGATGTGCTATATGAGAGACGAATCATGGCATGACAGTGAAATGATGGACTAACATATTAGGGTTGCACATTTTAGTCAAAAAATCTTATTGCAATTATTTCCTCAATTTTTGGCAAGATTCTGTCAGATGTGCACTGTGCAGATGTGCACTGTACAATAAACATTTAACATCTTACAGTTTGTTGCAGCTTAGATTTTGAAGCAAAAGGGACTACAAAATTACATTGAAATAAAGTGTGCAAAAACTACAAAATTATAAGCTTTTCTCCAAATTGTCCCAAACTCATCTAAAGAGCCAGCAAAATAACTATTTCAGTGACAAAAAAGTGTACTGACTGAGTGAAAAGAAACCAATAAAAAAACCAATTCTCTTCATTTTCACGTTGTACCTGAAACTTAAAGGGGACTCAAATCTCTTTAGTCAGCTTCAGTTGATACTGTCTCAGTCCACTTTACATTCACACTGTTGTTTTTTGGATCTGATCAATGTGAATAATAATGATAATTATTATTATTATTATTTATATTATTGTTTGTTACTAGTATATTTTTAAAAACAATAGTAATTATTTCAATGTATTTCTTTGGTAATATATTTCCATCCTAATTTCTTTACTTTCCTCAAGCTTTTATTTTCATGGAAAAATGCTTGTAATGTTTACATTTACATGAATGTAAAAAAGTGTTGCTGTTCTCAGTGCACATTATAAGCGACCTTTTGATTTTTTTTAAAAAGTGAATTTATTTTGATTATTTCAATTTTTATTTAAATTAACTGTGTAGCCCTATCAGGGAGAGACATACCATACAAATAATAAGCCTCTTAATAAACAAAATGTATGCAAGTAAATAGAAAATGTCAAAAATCTGTCAAATTTGTCAATTTGTTCTGTATACATTAGGAACAGTGTTGGGCAAGTTACTCTGAAAATTTAACCAAATTACTGATTACTGATTACTCCTTTTAAAAGTAATCACGTTACTGTTCTGATTACTTTATTTCAAAAGTAATTAGTAATTAGTTACATTACTAGTTACGTTACTTTTTTTCTCCATTAAATTTATGAAATCCCAGCATACACGCTCCCGATAAATATTTGTTATTAAAGCATCAACATTCACAGAACACTGTTATTTGTAACTAAAGCAAGCGGATGCGTGCATGGTTTGACACGGCAGAATGCCAGCAAAGAGTGCTGCATTTATAATCTCTAAAAGACGTCTCAGTTCATCGCAATCTCCCAAATCTCTGTTATAACACAATAAATATATGCATAATGAACCTTTCATAATGTCTACAATTTGTGTGTTATAATGAGAGGATTCGTGAGCACGCAAATTTCAGCACTGCATTGCTCAACGCTGCAAACAAGTGCGTCGGGTCTCGCGGGAGCAGGTCTCTAATCCACTGGCACTTGACTCGACAATGCGTGTGCAACATCTCCAGATTATAAAACACTGCATTCTGTCAGCAATGTAACGCTATAGAGACCTCGGCTTGTAACTATACTCTAATTACTATTTTGAAAATTATAATGCGTTAAATTACTCCGTTACTAAAAAAGTAGTCAAATTACAGTAACGCGTTACTAAGTAATGCGTTGCTGCCCAACACTGATTAGGAAGTCCCTTTCTGATCCAACCTGCAGCACACTCGCTACGCTGCCCTAAAAACCACATGCTACGACTTCCCTGTCAACCTCCTAATGATGATGATTCTCCACCTTGAAGTCTCTTTTTAGTTCTGGTCTGGTCTTGATCTGTTTATTTTGGGAACAAGCCCTCAATATGTTACATTTACAAATCACTGATGTTTGCCTTAGAGCCCTTAAATAAACTGGCTTACTTTCAGGCCTAAAGCACCAGCGTGCTTTCTAGGTTACCAGCTATCCTCATGGTGTTCAGTGACTAGCTTTGAACATGACAGCAACACACACAGGCCTGAACTGCAAAAGCTCACTCACCAATATCATTTCTGGGTGGAAGATGTTCATCTTCATAACTAGGGTAGCGCTCCTTTCTGTCCAACAGCAGATAGTAGATCAACTTCTCCTGGTTTTCTCTGGGAAGGGAGAGATGCAAGTCAGAAGACCAAACTGACTTTCATTGTATTGACAGAAGCATTCTTCAAAATATCTTCTAATGGGTTTCACAGAAGAAAGTAAGTCATACATGGGTGGAATGAATAAAATCTTTTTTTTGAGTGAACCATCCCTTAATGGTCAGTTGTATCTTGTACAAAGTACAAATCCTTGAAATCTTGAGTTTGTGCACTATTCTTTTCTGAATTACAGGCTGAGATGTGTTGAGCACACAGACAGAAGTTCAGACTCACTCTTCACACTGCAGGTCTCTGGTGAGCTTGACACGGTCTCTGAAGCAGCCCAAGGAGTGCATACTCTCCAGAACATCAGGGTCCAGATCTGTAAGAGACAGAATCCTCTTCACACACACACGCCTCGGGGGTGGCTGCTCTGGACACGGCTCGTTCCTGCCCCCTCTGAGACAGAAAGACACACAGACACACAAGCAAGTCAATGTGGAGCGCACATTGTGGGCATTACATGCAACAACATAAAATAAAATCCACTTTTATTGGAATAGTTCTGTGTAACATGGAAGGTGAATTTTTGCACTGCACAGTGACCATGTCTGTCAAGTTCCAAAAAAGACAAAGAAAAGACCATAAAAGTGGTTCTTATGACGCATAGGCTATATTCCAGATCTTCAGGTGGCATATGATATCTTTGTGTGAAGAGCAGACCCAAGTTTAAGTTATTTCTCCTCATACATATGACACAAGCCATTATGTTAATGACGTTTGATCATGAGACATTTGAGAACCCATGACATTTGATGATGTTGATGATGATATTTGTCTGAACTCTAGACAGGATGGCAAGATTTTCCTTTAAAAGCAACATTCAGTCTGATTGTTGCACAAAACAAGCTTGACAGGCTTTTTGGAGCTTGACAGACATACTATAAACTGTTGATGTATGAAAAAGTGCCAAATTCTCCTTTTGTGTTCCATGGAAAAAAAATAACAGCATACAGGTTTGAAATGGCATGACAGTCAGTGAACAATTTTCTTTTTTGAACTATTCAAGGTACCTCACATGATACTTACTGATACCAAGGGTGCTTTTGTATTTCTTCCAACTGAGAAAAGAAAAAAACAAGAATTATCATAAACATTCCTTGGCAATACACTAAGTTAATACTTTTATTCAGCAAGGATGCATTCAATTGATTAAAAGTGACAGTAAAGATATTTATAATGAATTTATTTATGATATATACATTTTATTTTAAATGATGTTCTTTTAAATAAAAAAATGTATCACAGTTTCCACAAAAATAATACGCAGTACAACATAATAAGAAATGTTTCTTTAAACACCAAATCAGCATATAAGAATGATTTCTGAAAGATCATATGACACTGAAGACTGGAGTAATGACATTTTAATAAATTACATTATAAAATATATTCAAATAGAAAACAATTATTTGAAATTGTAATATTATTTCACAATAGAACTGTTTTCACTGTATTATTGATTAAATAAATGCAGCCTCTTAACAACCCCAACACTTTGAACGGTAGTGTACATGCAATTTCTATATAAAAAGAGGTGCACTGTGTGCGTGTTGCATACCGTGAGCCGTTTCTCAGGGTTGACCTCAATCATGCCACGGAGGAGAGCCTGGCAGTCTGGAGGAATGAAGTGAGGCATGTGAAATACTCCACTCTTCACCTTCTCCAATAGCTGACGCAGGTTATCATGGTCAAAGGGCAACGCTCCCTGTGAGGTGAGACGTTACAATTCACACACATTTCTGAGTGCAACTGAGAGCATCAAGTCTGCAATATGCCCACAGTCAATGGCAAATTTAAGACATAAAGCACGTACTTTCCAGACATTTAATTTTTAATAAGGCATGCAAGGAAGGTATTAAAAGTGGGGAAAATGTCGGAAATGACACAAATAAGATGCAGCAAGCTTCTTACCACCAACAGAGCAAAGAGAATAACCCCACAGCTCCACACATCTGCCCGACGTCCATCATATTTCTCTCCCTGTGAATAGAAAAAAACACTAAGTACAGATAAGCACTGGCTGTTTTGTACAATATGAATCTATGAGACTTATACGTTAAAGCATATGGTGCTTTTGCTCTAAGAGCTTTGTCCTTACCCTGATGACCTCAGGACATGCATAATGGGGTGATCTGCAGATACATAATATAGAGCATTAATACTTCATCTTCATTAATACAGTAGTAAAAGCACACAAACACAAACTACTGACCCACAGCTGGTCTCCAGCAGACTGTCCCCAACCTGTAGGGAGGCCATGCCAAAGTCAGCAATCCTGATATTATTCTTCTCATCCAGCAGGAGGTTTTCAGGCTTAAGATCTCTGTGGCTGAAAAAGCATTGTAATATATTTTTGTATATTGTAATATTTTTCCATAAGTATAGGAAACTATAATTATTTTACAGAGTGAGAATAACCTATTTTTGCATTGCATACCCTGCAGAACATGTAACAAGAATAAATCACAAGTTTTGTAACACATTTACACATGCTTTACTTTTGTTTTTGTTTTGTTTTTTCAAATCTATCATCACTACCGTTCAACAGTTTGGGGTTGGTAAGATTTGTTAAATGTTTTTGAAAGAAGTCTCTTAACATGCTGCTCACCATGGCTGCATTTATTTGATCAAAAATACAGTAGAAACAGTAATATTGAGAAATATTATTACAAATCAAATTGTTTTCTATTTTAATCTATTCTATGGCAAAGCTGAATTTTCAGCATCATTACTCTAGTCTTCAGTGTCACATGATCCTTCAGAAATCATTCTAATATGCTGATTTACTGCTCAAGAAACATTTCTTATCATTGTTGAAAACAGTTGTGCTGGTTAATACTTTTGTGTAAACCATTATATATTTTTCAGGATTCTTTGATGAACAGAAAGTTCAAAAGAACAGCATTTATTTTAAGTAGACACATTGTATAACATTACAAATGTCTTTTGATCAATTTAATGCACGCTTATTGAATAAAAGTATTAATTTTCTATTTAAAAAAAAAAACTTACTGACCCCAAATTTATGAAGGGTAGAGTTCCTGTGTACATATAGAGTGACCCATATATGGAAATAATACAAGTCAGCTTGGGCTTCATAACTTGGCCGCAAGTTTTCATCCCAACTCACATCCACATACTCTACAGAATGCTGATTATGCACACATATTATGAGAAAATATGGCTGTAAAAGAATCTGTGTGCAGCACATTAAATAAAAAAGTAAAAAGAGACATCTACCATATAGAGTGACTGTGACAGAAGTCCAGAGCAGATATGATTTGTCTGAAGAACTTTCTAGCCTCTTTAGGGGTCAATCTGCCTTTCTTTACCAGATAGTCAAACAGCTCCCCACCAGATACATGTTCCAGCACTAGATACCTGAGAGAATGAGAAAGACATTTATGAAACAAATGCACAGAGATAGATGCACACGAAATGGTACACACAAGCAAGCACACCTCCTGAGAATGCAGGATGTAATAAGTCTAGACAAGACAAGACAAGGCCAGACATGCTTCAGATGTGTGGAGAAACAGAGCAGTACTTACAGATATTTGTTATTCTCGTACACATCATACAGTTTTAGGACATGAGGGTGCTCTATTAGTTTAAGAATAGCTATCTCTCTCTCCACCTGCAGAAACGGGGAGAGCGAGGAACATTGAATGAGAGCTGAATAGGGAAAAGGAACAACTTTGATGAAGGAAATAACCAAGCAAAGATGATCACTTTCAATTAGAAGTGAACTAATATAGTCAATATATTAACAAGAGTCTGACAATCAACAGTAGACACGGACAAAAATGGCTTAGCAGGAAGAGTCTTGCATTTCTTTAGCACAGAACATTAGGGCAGATGCAGCGTATACTGTGGTTAATAAAGCAGTTGGAGTTATGCAGCTTCTGTGTTATTGAAGAGTTACTGTAAATACGAAAATGCTGCGTAAGCAGGAGGTGACTGAGAAAAACTAGAACTTTTAGACATTTCCATTGTAAATTCATTGCATGCAAAACTTACTTTCATAAGAACAGACTCTGATAGCTTTTCTCTGTTAACTATCTTTATGGCCACCTTCTGTCCTGTGATACAATGAATTCCTAGCTTCACCAGACCTGCAAGAGGAACACAGATGGTCATTCTTCATAGAAGCATTTTAAAAGTGGACAACATTAAAATCCAGACGAGATGATAACATAGGTCTGCGAACATTCAGATAGCACAATTTTAAGTAATCAATTCCCATTTACAAACCATTACACCTGAAAAAAGCAGCACTACCAAAAACACTACTGACTTATGCACACTCCAAAAAATAACATAAAAACACCAGTACATTCTGCTCATATAGACAGTCACATAAATCGTTAATGGACACCCTCTTTCACTTGCCAAAAACAGTCTACTTCTTAATGTATGTAGATCTATATCATTCTTGTGAACATTCATATCCTATTTACAATGTACTGACAAACAAGATCTTAGTGGCCTTTGCATTCAGAACAGATCGGTTGAAAGCCATTTTTATACCTTAAAACTAACTAGTATCTAGGTTTACATGACTAGTACATTTGTTAATTAGGCTACTAGCAATCTAATAGTGACAGGAATTATTTTACATTTTACTTTTTACACTAGATACTCATTAGTTGCTTTTCATTCTTACTGGTAACAAACTGCAATTTGTTGCAAATTCAAGTCAAGTTTAGTACTTAATTATTAGACACTACCTTGCATGTTACTTGTTTAATTGAACTAAAGTAGCTGACTAGTCATTACCTACAACCTACAAAAAAAAGTAATTGTATCTAGTGAAAAAAGAAATGTTACAACAGTTTGGGTAGTTACTAGTTTTCCATAATATCAAATAAAACTGTGAGAATAGATATATAACTATTGGGAAAGTAACTGGTAAGAACCTATTGAACAGTTATTGTAAAACGCTAATAGGTTCCAGCTACAAGTGACAAGTTGAACCACAGATTCCTTTAGAATTCAAAGACAAAAATGTGCAATGTGTTACAAGTAGCAATGATCTGTCTCTAATGGGATACCAAAAGAATAAGTACCATTAACTAGCAACCTTAATTAATTAAATAGGCCTAGATATGCCTAGGAAAAGTACTAGCATCTAATGAACGTTAGTAGTGAAACTGACAGTCACTATTAGATAACAAATACAAGTACTAGTAACGTAATATAAAGAAATAAATTTAAAAAACTGCTTGCAATCACATTCAAGCTTCGAAACAGCACGAATGAATCACTGCCACTCATGACTCGATAACAAAACGCCAGAAAGATGAAATAATCTTCCTCCCTCAAACACTGCCCTTACACTGTCACTTGCCTGCGTGCCTCATTACATTTCATCAGCTGAAGCACCCACATTAACCGCTTTGCTTATTGCCGAACCATCCTTTCAATAGATTCATTCTTTAATGAGACGCGCGAAGTAGAGCAGAATTTATGCCAATGCATTAACCAAAGAGGAAATGCTCTTACCTGTCTGGCCCTTCCCCAGCGTCTTCTCCAGTCGGTAGGGCCCGACGTACTGAGCTGCCTGACTGCCCGACAACTCCTTACTGGACATTTCGTTCGAACGCGGTTTTGTGTCACAATATAAAGGGGGTAATCAGTGTATTCTCACAATGTATCCACTGGCATCTGTCCTGCTCACGCAATAGCTCCGCCGCACAGACATCACAGACAGTGAGCGATGACACAGGGATGCTGAGGCGTGCTGTCAGTGCCGTGGCCTACTCCCAAACATCTGCCGCGTCTCCTTAAACTTCGTGGAAACGGATCGGTAACATGTTCCGTTAGAAAATATCAAAAGTGAACAGAGAAATGCATGTCCAGCCGAGCCTATACGCCAAACTGTAGCTGTTATTGCGATTTACATGGCCTGTGGTTGCAGCTGCTGCTGGAAGAATGATGAGGGGACACGATTAAATCTGTCAGTATATGGGAAGATACAATATGTCTAGATCAGATAATAGCTGCGAACGACAGTATAATGATTATGAATGCTGAAGACAGATAAAGATAACAGGAGTATTAGGTAGCCTGGTTCGGTCATCAGTTTATTTTCGCCGGTCTTTTATCTTTAAAATAAATATTCATGTAGTCATGTAGTCATGTAGTTATTGTCAAACTGCAAGTGACCTAGGCCTATTTATTAATTAAAAACTTGGCCACATTTATTCTGCGAAAGAACCGCACATCCGGTTTGTGACACCTTACGCATATTATTCTAAGTGTCTCTTTCTTTTGTCACTGACTCTTCAAAGTGTTTCGCTTTGTTTTGATAAATGTTTGGATGTGAAGGATGAGCGTCCTGTGCCTGATATAAACTACGGTATCTTCCAGGCCTCACATCCGGAAATATGGGAGAACTGTACGGGAGAAAACAGCCACCCTTTCGCGAAAGAAAGCCTCGGTGTCTTCCGTCACATGAATCCGTCAATTAATCCAAGAGTGCATTGCGCTATTGCAAGCTATAGTGTTTGCGCAGAAATCCCAGGCTTTATTCGCGCGGAACACATTCCTGGTCAAAAAGCGAGCATCTTTAACTAGAGTAGGAGCCTCCTCTCCGTCTCCTCTCCCCTCCCTCGCGCTCGCTCGCGCTGGCTATGTGCAGCGCATTACAGCATCTCCTCGCGCTCTCCTCCCGTCGCCTCGGGTACCGCGCGCGTAGTCATCGTCTCGAGCCGCCTGGCTTTAATCCGTTCGCTTCCCTTGACTTGTGGCCGCGAGGATAGCAGTCCCTCTGTCAGTGGGGCCTTTCTCTGTTTTTTAGCTCTCACTCTCCCTGTATTGCTTCTCCCCATCCGACACGAGCATCATCAGCATCCGGGTTCTGCGCTGCTTGCGTCCCCTCCCTCACACGATTCCCACTGAACATGCTCGTCATAGCCCCCCACCCCACTTCCGCCCCTCACATTATTATTGAACCCATTATTGTCATTGGGCAGCATCTGTCAATTTTTTGATAAATACTGTACATATTTTCAGATCATTTGTTATCATAATAGGCTATTTATGGACTAGCTGTCCCATACTTTATTGTCGTTTAAAAAAAAATGACAGGCTTGCAGGAATATCCATCTTTGATGGGCCTAGTTGGGTTTTTGCATAGTAGTTTTCAGTCGTTTTACAATTTCATGTATGCATTTAGCAGACTTTAACAGTTTTTTTCAGCTGTTTACACACATTTTCAAAACTTTACACACAAATACAAGAATTGCACACACAAAAGCAAATGTTTTGAGATGTGTTTGTAATATTTTGAATGCAGTGCTTCATTTTGCAAGAGATGTGAGGCATTTTGCATTTTGTGTGTGCAATTCTTGGATTTGTGTGTAAAGTTTTGAAAAAAAAGAGGCAAAGTTTTGAAAATGTATGTAAGCAGTTTAAAAAACTGCAATTCATGTTAGATTTTTGAGTATTAAATGTATGTTGTGTTTTGCAAAAAGTGAGAATTAGTGTATGGTTTTGCAGATTTGGTGTGTCAGGTTTCAGAAACTGTGTGACAAGTAAAGATTTTGTGTGTAAGCAGTTGAAAAAAACTGTAACCAAAGTGACTTACAGGAACAGAATTTGTCAGAGATCCATCAATTTTCAATGTCAGGTTTATTAGAAAGTTTGATTAGGTGACAAACTAGAGCAGAAAAGAAAAAAGAAATGTAAAATGTAAAGAAATTCACTTTTTGCCTACTTTATTGCTAAAACCTGCAAAATCACTCTGGACCCCTCATATCCAGCACACTCCCTCTTTGAACTGTTGCCGTCTGGTACATATTATAATTCATATTTTCAGATAATTTGTTATCATAATATTTATGGACTATAGCTGTCCCATCTACATTGTCATTTTTAGCAAAAACACTCAAAGGCTTGCAGGAATATCCATCTTTGATGGGCCTAGTTGTGTTTTTTCATAGTAGTTTTCAGTATTTTTACATTTACATGTGCATTTAGCAGACTCTTATTTGTGGACATACAGGAAATGTCATGTCTCGCAGGACCACGGTGTTACATAATTAAACATAAATATAAACATACAATACTAGAAGTAAGAAACATTTTTTTGAACCTATAGCCTACATAGTTTACTGAAAGCGGTAATCTAACTAGGCCTAATATAAATAGTTGACTGTACATACACATAATCTAAGACTATGACTATAAAAGTACTTTACATAAATACTGTACATTATATTATGCAAAAGAGGTATTTTAGGGTAAGAAGTGTATAGTGCAATATGATTTGTGGCGCATTTGCAAGTAAACAAATGTTATCTTATTCAGTCTTTGTTGCAAGGGACAGAATTCGTCAGAGATCCAACAATTTTCAATGTCAGGTTTATTAGAAAGTTAGATTGGGGAGCAAGCTAGAGCAGAAAAGAAAAAAGAAATGAAAATGTAAAGAAATGCACTTTTTGCCTACTCTCTATTGCTAAAATGAAAGCGCCATCCCTGCAGTTTAATGTTTGAACACAAGGTAGCAGTAGAGACAAACACAGAGTGCGTGTGTTCTGCAGGCAAGAAGTTATTGAAAAATCTCCCAATATAATGCGCATTTAATGTTGGGGTTTTTATTTCTTAATCTCACCCAAAAACATTAGGCATAGCGAAATGTTGGGAGTATCTTTTAGTCCAATCTGTATCAGGCAGTCTTAGTCCAGACAGCAGGGGGCGTTGCTCTAGACTGGTCTGACTCGTTGAGCTCTTAGCCTCTATTTTACAACAAGTGAGGCACTAACTGTTCATATATTATGTTAAAGTACCTATGTTATGTTCAGTGAGTCATTACAAGATTACACGTCTGCTGACAAAATTCAGGGTTTCTAATTGTGTGTTTTCTGACAGAGATCAGCAGACAGAGGTGATTCTTGCAGATTCACCTGGATATTCAACTCAGCACTTTCATATCGTCCCTCACGTGATGTTTTCAAGGTCAAACACATTCAGTGACCTTCATACTTGCCTTTTGTAAAGTTTTGTAAAGTTATCCCCTTCCTACCTGTCTGGCAGGGCTCCAAGCAAGAGCACACCCTCCTCCCTTTATTTTCTTGGAGCCTTATGACAACCGAAATCTCTCCTCAGCATGGAGGCAGAAGGATGTCTGCTGGAAATGTGGTAAAGCCTGGTGTAAGTATAAGTGTAACAACAAGTCACGCATTTAGGTCGTAAAAATAAGGTAATCAGTTTTATTTATTTTTCAGATTTCACATTTTACACGTTTAATCATTTTAATTTGTATTAGGCTACTCATTGTATGTATGAAAACAACGAAGACATTTAGCCTATCTTGCATTAAAAAAAAATATCTAAAACTAGTTAGATATTGAGATTGTTGCATGACGATCTGATCACATTTGAGCAGTGATTCATGGAGACATCACCCAAAATTTTCTCTGCTTATACAAGCAGTAAAATTGTTGTGACAAGACTTTTGCATTGATAATTAGCTTGAATTTCTTGTTTTGTACTGTTTAAATGACACCAAACCAGCATGTGTGAGCATAGTCCAAACCCTGGGGATTTTTATTCTTGGTTATAGAACAAGTCTTCACACTTCTAGCTTTGCTAATAGATCAGCTCATGAATGAGCATAAGATCTGATTGATTGACTGATGAGATAAGTGCATTTGGGGATTTGAGTGGGTGTATTTGTGTGCCTCTTAATGAGTCAAAGTGAGGAGTTTAGAGTATTAGTAACATTGGAAAGCTTAATCTCCTACTTTAGTTCACCTAAACCCATTACAGAAGCCTACATAATCCTTGCCTACAGTCCACTTCACTGCATCCACCTTAAAGTTTTGGACTTGTATATAAATAAAACCACAAGGACTCATTAGAAGTCACTTTTGGCAAGACAGGATCTGCTAAGCAAGTTAATGAAAGCTGTTTTTAAGGAGTTTACCTAAAAACGAAAACAAACATTGTCAAACAAATTCGGTTACAAATATCGAACCATTTTTAAAATCTTTATTCCATTTTGAAAGCATCTGAGACACATCATTTACATCAAATCTCAAACTGTCTACAGATCAGATCAATACAATCAGCCACAAAAGGGGAGGGGAGGTTGGTGGTTGGAGGAATCTATTTAAGCTTCACAGGGGGGGTAGAGAAGAGAAGAGACACAAATATGGTCTCTGCTGCCAAACCCCAAACCCCATAGTTTAGTCCAGTGCCATGAGCTGCAGGGAATGCTGGGAAGGTGGAGGACTCAGTGCAGTGAAACCCTAAAACAAACAGAAATACAGAGAATCATAAATTTCAAATGATAATGAAAAATCATGAAGACAATCATAAAACAGAGCAGAACGAATGTGCTTAAGATTAAACAGTTAAATTAACAGCCAATCAACGGATAATATTAAGAATATTAAATAAATATTTTTTCCAGTTGACATGGTTTCACTTGACAACAACAACATAAACATTTGTGGAGTGAATTAGTTAGTAATGAAGTAACACTGACCTTTTTTAAAGGCTGACTACACTCTAAAATTAATTGTATCTAAAATAATTGTCAAGTTAACATACATTTTAAGGCAGTGAAGTAACAAAGTAAACTTGACTAATTTTTTTACAGTGAAATTTAAACAATTTTATTATTTTTTTATTCAGTTTAACATTATAGTCTATGTTGGACAGTTATTCTTGCATACTTATTTCCCCCATTACATTTAGTTTAAATTTGCCACGATACAGTACTCATTCACTTATCTTTAACAAAACTAATAATTTCATGAAAACAGTTTATTCTTCAGCTAATCTCAAACTGAATATAAATATAAGCCAATTATCGGTTCTCACCCATAACATGGAAATAATGTTTTTTTTAGATCTGCGCATCCTAAATTATTAGACCATTCCCAACTAATTTGAAATACTGATCAGTCAGCCATATTCACATATTTAAAAAAGAAAACAATAGTACATAATGCATCTGTTGATCTGACATAAATAAAATACTCGTCTGACATGTAAAGGGGAATGAAGCAAGTGAATGTGCATTACTTTTCCTGCATGTTGAGCTCCTCATGACGCCTCAGCATTGCTCTTCACACAGGCAGCAAACGCCTCCATTAGCTCCTTACATGCTTCCTCGCCATTCTCCTTTACACTGTAGCACACAGAAAACACGCTCATTACTCCAGCACACACACGCTGATTCACATCAACATATCACATATACAACGCAAAAATGCAGATTTGTCCCTCTGAAGCACACAAGACTTCATGATCAAGTATAAAGGTTCTGTACCACACACTGTAAAGAAATTACATAACTTTGGTATTGTCTTTAGTTTCTGCAAAGTCTTATAAAATGTGCACTCATGATAGGCTGGATTCTGCTGGGACTGAATGAGACAGTATGTATGCATTTGTACGAGTGAGATTATTTGAGCCTCTCCACACCAAACAACGGCAGACACTGACACACTGCATTAGAGTGATGGAGCGAAAACAAGGGTTGGAATGACAGCGCAAAGGGGGGAAAGAGATGCAAAGCGAGGGAGGCGGATAATCCAGCTGAACGAGTGAAAGATAGAGCCCTAGAATCACTTGACAAAGCAAGCAGGTAATGGAAAAGAGACATGCTTCCTGCTAAAAGAGAGAGATGTCGTGACTTGTGAGGAAAAGAGCGAGCCCCTCCCCCGGAGAGAAAATGATTTTAGTCTCTCCCTCCCCCACAGATCATCTGCTGCATCTGGCATGGTGACATAAGCATGCTCTTCCTGGCTTTCTCTCTTTTTTCAGAGAGAGTGGTGATGTAACACACAGCTGGTCGATTTAAATATGAAGTGCCTTATGCAGACTGGTTCTGATGAGCCACGTGACGTAGCTGTAAGGATGTATGGGGGGATTTCACTAGCCAAGGGCATTTCCTCTTCATAGGCAGCCATTTTAATACTAATACTAGATTCAGAGAGAAGACATGCAAAGGGAGAATGGACCATTGTGAAACACAAGACTAATTGACAAAAAACAATTAGGGTCAGATTATGTCTTTATCCTCAACAACCAATAATTAGAGATCACAAAACCATTTCTAGTCAACTGGAAATGCACCCATGTTTTGGGCTCGAAAAATGGTCCATTTAAAAGCTAGTTTGATTTCAAAATGTGTTGAATTTCTGGAAAACTGTGTCAAATGAACCAGAACATGGGTGTGTTTAAAGACCTTTTGATTTGGGAGACAAATGTTGAAACACTCTATATCTGTGGTGTAAAATTGGTGGCAAAAGCACAGTCATTTTAAAAGCTAGTGTTAGGGATAGCTCATCATTTACTCACTCACACCTTGTTCCCAAATTGTATGGCTTTCTTTCTTCTGTGGAATATAAAAGAAAATGTTTTGAGAAAGAGCTTTCTTTTTTTTTGTCCATAAAATGGAAGTCAGAGCTGTTTGGTTACCAACATTCTTCCCTATATTATCATTTGTGCTCTGCAGAAGAAATGGTTTGTAATGACATGAGTGTGAGTAAATGATGACAGAATTTTAATTTTTGGCTTGAACTATAGATAAATTCAGACACACCTTTGTATCGTGAAAAGCGCTGTACAAATAAACTTGAATTGAATTGAATTGAATTAAATAAATTGATCTTAAAATGTGCTACAAATGTGCATTAAACGAACCAAACCATATTTATTTGCCAGTCAAATATTGAAATCTGTCAGTCTTGGAGCTGTAAAATTAGAATGATACCAAAAAGCATCAGACAAATGGGAAGGGGATGATCACCTTCCCTAAATTAAGACTGAATAATTCACATGATGGCCAGTCCTCCACATATATAATGCAAAAGGAAAAAGGGCACGGCTCAGGAGTGCTCTGATCTTAAACACAAACAGGAAATTATTTTACTTGACCCAAAGAATAATTTGATTGTAATCTAATAAATACCGAATCCATATGGAATTGATTTATTTCCACATGGAGCTCCTATAACAAAGCTATCCTATGCTGATAAAGCAGATGCTTTTGTTTATTGATAGATTAAGTAACACTGTTTACCCTGAGGGGGGCATCTACAAAACTAGAACAATACATTCCAACCGCTACAAGAGCAGGCATGCTAACACAAATGAGAGGAAAAAATCAGCTTAAAGTGTAAACGATTAACTTTTGATTTGCATTAACATTCTTGAAGGGCCACCCTATAGGACACAATGGCTGTACGTTAACTCTGAGGCTGATGTTTAGTCACAAACTTTGAAACCGTACAAAATGGAGAACATCTCAAGGTCACAAATTCACAAATTTTACACTGTTCCACAACAAGCAGCCAGATGCATTCTCCCAGTGAATAACTGCTAGCTTCTGGGGTTAAACCTGTAACATTAATCCTCTTCTGGGTTTAAAGCCCATGATGAATCCCCTTTGTGGACTAGCATGACAAAAAACAGACAAGATGGCCACTGTGACATGCTTAGACCAGGTGTAAAGTGATCCAGTGAAAAGTACATGTCACACTGTATAATGGATGACAGACACATACACACATCTATGCATTACCATGTACAAGGGCACTATAAATACTAGTGTGGTGTACATTATTTAAGGTCACCTTCTGTAAGGTTAAACATTCAGCTAGTCAGCAACACATGCAAGTTGCTGGTCAAAATGGTCACAGAAAGGTCAATGACAAACTGACCTGCTAATAGCGTTTTAACTGTTAACGGTTCTGCCATTCTCCCAACAGTCTCGTCCCAGCCTCACTTTATCATTTTGAGCGGTGACTGCTCATGTGAGAGAAAAACTATTAATGTTTACAGATGCACCTTTTCGCCATTTTTCACTGCCCTCCCTCAAATCCATTTTGGATTACAGTGGACTTTGTTGGTTTTATATCCGCTAAAGCAGTGTCCCACCTACCAGAATGTTTTAGATGTCTCTCTAATTAAAACACCTGATTCATCTCATCAGCTTTTTGGTGTGTTGAACAGGGAGACATCTGAAATATCTTGGGAGGTGGGTCTCAAAGACTGGAGTTGAGAAGCACTGCTGTAAATGAAGGTGACTGTGATGGCCAGTGCTTCAGATGAAACAGTGACACATTATTCGAGCAAATTCTTACCCCCACACACCCTTCCCCTATCTGGTCCTTGCACACCAAAGGTCAGCGTATGTGCAACCTTATCTCCTTTCTCATGCTGCCCAGGCCTGTCGACACTACAAACACCAAAAGCAGCCAGTCTACATTTTTTTGGGTGGGTGTGGGGATTAGGGTCAAAATACAGCTTGAGCAATGGCTGGTGTCAATGGTCAAGAGAGAGGGAACACAATGAAACCCTACATAGGAGGAAGGACAGCATATGCATACTGAACGAATGTTCATCACTGGCCACTGGTCACAATCTCCTTCATTTGCAGGATATAAAACCAGCAAAACCCATTAGTGGGAGGGCAGGGAAAACCGGAGAAAAGGTTCACCCGTAAACATCAGTGATTCCCTCTCATTTAAGTGGTCAAACTCAAACATGACAAAGCGAGGCCAGGGAGGTTGCAGGGACAGAAATGGTGAAGATTGAGAGAGGAAATCAGGGATGGCAGGACGAGCGAGAGGAAAAGCATGACGTAGACACATTCCCAACAGCCAATCAGCCGTGAGGAAGAACTGAAGTTGAAGAAAAACCCCAGAATGCTCTTAATGAGCGGCCCCACTGCTGCTGCCAACTCGCATCAAACTGACACCAATCAAACCATTTAAAAAACTCACTAAACTTAATTAAGTTACATCTTATTAAACACACCGGATCCCTCTGCGCGAACCTTCCACCTCATATTCGGCGCAAGGTCCTTTCTTCCCTCCATTTTGGATCGCCATCACGATGCAGTATTTACACTGCGTATCATAATTCTATTGAATATCACCAACCTTAACTAATTAAGAACTAAAATAAATCTATGTGGAAATAAATCCACATTTTAGAGTATGAGAATTTAACAGATTTTAATTCGGTCCATACAGAGTTGCAACAGACCGGTATTATGTACCATACATTGCTACTCCAGTCACTTACCATTTGTCTAGATCTGCCTTGATGGCCACACAGGGTGCTGGGACAGGGGTCTCGGCAGGAGCTGCAGTCTCTGAGTCCGACATGGTTCTGTGGCGTTGGTGTGATCCGTGCGCTCCTGTGGTTGCATGTGCAAGAGAAAAAGAGAGAATGGAGAGTTAGAATTGGCAAGAGAGAGGGGGAGTGTACATAGTACACAGGGGAGGAAGGAGGGGGGAACGTGAGAGGGCACATATGTACATGAGCAAGAGATCAAACAGTAAGCATTAAAAAAAGCATTTAAAAATTTTTTTGAAAGTATGGTGCTTCATATGCAAAAAGCAAATAATTGTGCTTTTTTTTCTGCACCTAAAGCAACAGTGTGTAATAAAGTGTGCTGAGACAATGGAAAGTATGCAGAGAAACTTAACTTGCATTCAGACACAGAAAAGCTGCACAACTTCTTGTGTGATATAACGGACTGTGCATGGACGCCCCCTATTGGAAACATGTTTTCATGACGTGCACCAATTTACACTTTTTTTCTCTGTTAATCATATTTATTTTCATCTAAACGCAGTCTCATTTAAATTGCATCCAATTTCCTTTTTTATTTTATTTTTTCTTAAAGATTTAAATGAATACAGCCAGGGTGTACACTAGAATAAATACAAAATAAATAAAATTCCTTCCCTTATTCCTTTATTGCTTCCCTTTCTAGCTTGTACTTATTTGAACAATGCCTAAAACTTGGTATTACAAGCACTTCCTGTGTCTGTTTGCCTCTTTAAGAAGAATCACTTTATGTATTCCCCAATTGTAAGTCGCTTTGGATAAAAGTGTCTGCAAAATGACTAAAGGTAAATGTAAATGTAAAATTGAGATATATGAATAAATGTAAAATGGTTAAATGAAAACATTAAAATTAACACATTTTACAACTTCCTTCTGCCTTTAAAATGAAAAACAAAGGCTTACTTCCCCCCATTTACATTTATGTACACTAAATAGAAGTAGCAGATTAATTCATGAATTAAAAAAACGAATGCATTTTCATGCATGAAGATTTTTAAACAGTTAAAAGCATCACCACCAGCCACTTTAGAATCCATCACATTGTAACGTATAACTTTCCCTTCAAACTTTATTTTTATTGTGAATTGTGCACTACATTCACTAACCCATCCCTCTAAATGGATGTTATATAGATAATTAAAATTAGTGCTGTCAAACGATTAATCGCAATTAATCGCATTCAAAATAAGTTTTTGTTTACACAATATATGTGTGTACTGGGTATATTTATTATGTATATATAAATACACACGCATGCATGTATATATTTAAGAAAAATATGTTATATTTATATATTAAATATATTTATATATATAATATAAATTATATGAATATAAATATAAACATGTAAATACATGTAAATATTTTCAAAATATATACTGTATGTGTGTATCTTTATATATACAAAATATATATACACATATATACACAGTACACACACATACATTGTGTAAACAAAAACTTTTATTTTGGATGCGATTAATTGCGATTAATCGTTTGACAGCACTAATTAAAATACAATTAGCTATTTCTATATGAATACCGTTTCAATTTGAATTAAAATTCCATTCCTCAGCTATATGGTGTTCAGACCAGACTATAAGCTAAATCAAGCAAATCCATTTGGCTTTTAAGAGTTTTGATGCCAGAAAGGGGGTCACATTTGAATCAATATTCAAAATAGTGGTCACTTAATATAGGTTTTAATATAGTAACCTATTTACATTTAGGTTTTCGAGAGAAAACTGATGCTGAAGATGTTGCAACATACTATTATTCGACGGCAGATAAGATTCTTTCATTGCTCACCCCGCCCCCTCATCTGTTCAAACAGTTTTACCCCTTCACAAAAGCACCAAAAGTCTAGTCGTAGACTATAAATCAGAAACGTAACTTTAAAAAGCAACCTGTCTAATCCTTTCAATGTTGGTTAATAAATTAATTTCGGAAAGTCTAAATTACAGTTGGATGCATAATAATAAACTGAAATTCCGCGGGACAAAACATGTATCCTAAAGTAGCCTATGTGCAAGTTTTACAGTTTTATTTTAAATATCTATTCGAATGATTTATAACCTTTTTATTACTGCAGTTTTATTGTAGTGTGTGTTTTGTATTTTTATTACACTTTTTCCTCTTTTATTGTTTATGTTCTCTAAATAAACAAAATTATCATCAAGGCTAAAATGCCTGTATATATTAAAGTCAAATTCGTAAAAAAAAACTATCTTTGTATCACTTTTAAAACGTAGTCTCTTCGATTGTGTCCGTGAGCATGTGGATACGTTTAACTGCAACAAAAGCATAGTTGTTACTTTCTAAGGATCTGAAACTTTTGCGGATCTCTGCATCAACCCACCTCCTCAAAGGTCACTTAAAAAGTTAAGCTTGGCTAAGCCTACCTGTCTGTCTAAATCAAGATGTTACGTGATTAAAGCTGTAGGAAGAAATGACTGAAAGCTACGCAGCTCGCGCATCTGAAAATGACGGAGGTATTTAACGGCGACCTTCAGATAAGAACGTCCTGTTCTCTAAACAATCAACCCACATCCATATGCATTTACACTGCTGCCAACGAGCTAAAGTGCAGATAATTAAATTAGCATGAAATGTCAAGCAATTACTTTACCTGGGTCTGCAGTCCGGAAAGATCTGGCAAGATTTACCTGGAAAACAAAATGAATATTTTTGAACTGGAACACGCATTAAGTACCTACTGGATCCACGCCTCCTTCTCCAGGAGTCTTGAGGGAGGAGAAATGCCCCAATACAAATGCATACAATGCTGTTCTCTCTGTAATGAGACTATAAGGTTGTTTATTGGATAATAATTGGATAGATTGGAGTTTTTAGGAGTTGGTCAAATGAAATTATAAAAAGTATAGGTGAAATAGGCTATATGTGAAATTTTAAAGTTCCCAAAATATATGCGATATAAGTTTTGGAGAGACTCAAGCCAATTTGAGGTAACAGAATGAATTAAAAAATAACTATGGATTTACTACAAAACCCCCTCCCCAAAAAAACATGCTAGTTAATCCATGGCAACCAAAAAATTGGTTTTGCTGTACTAACCATATTTAACCATGGTTTTTGTAGTGAGACCGTGGTTATACAAATGGTAATCAATACACCAAAAACATGAGATGGTCCTCACTGCAGAACACAAGATCCAGGGGGCGAGGTTGGATCCAGATCCAACTCCTCCCACCTTACATATACCTAACCCTACCCGTCTCCACCCCCTGATCCCTAAACCCACCCATCTCCACCCCCTAGATGTGGATCCAACCCCGCCCCCTGGATCTTGTGTTCTGCAGTGAGGGGCTACTGAAAAACATGGTTACAACACTTTTACTACCAAAAAAAAAAAAAAAACGGTTAATTTTCATAAGGGAATGATTGAATGATAACACCATTACACAAAATGTTACAAAAGGCCTGTTATTTCAAGGTCCTGTAAGGTCACACACTGTAACTAACTATTAAGTCGGAAAACATAAAGGGAACAGGAAACTTTCATAAGAATTGGACCAGCACATTCAGACATAAATAAACAAGGAAAGAACAGAAAAGAAACAAAAAGGGTTAAAACCCTCTCAGTTCACAGTAGGTCATGACAAATGAGTGTTTCCTCATTGCTGGGGGAAGGGTCTCACATGTGAAGACTTTTTTAAATGGCATGCGGCTGTAAGAGTGTAGAATGGGTACACAACTTCCATAAAAAGGAAAAGAGCTGGGAAAATCAAATCTGACCCTTCACACCTGGCCCACCTTTTCTTTGAACTGGCACTACAAAGCACTGAGCACCAAAACAGCCAGTTTATTACAAAAAAAGGCCATTTTATTAGCTTAAATTATATGTATGTCTGCACTATGCCTGTGCATTTTTTTCTGCACTGGAAGGTCCTGTCACCAAGTTCCTTGTGTGTGTGTAAATGCTCTTTCTGATTCTGATAGTGGTGCAGTCTATTAAAAATCAATTTGTTTTTCCATTCAGACACCCTAAAATAATGCAATCACGCCAAAAAAAAAAAGAAAACACACATTTTTAGAAAAAAACAGGCACACAAATCATCAAATGTCACAAATATCATCACTATATTAAAAGTTAAAAGAGAAGAAAGAATGTTTTACATTTATTTATCTGACCGTCTGATCATCATCTGATCATCTGATTTTTGCCCTCGTATCCTGTATCTACTCAGACAGCTTATAAATATTGATCAGCCAAACCCTCACATCAATGTTTTTCATTAGTTTCAGGATTTAACTAATACACCTGGAGTGCAAGACTCATTGCATATGCAAATGAGAGGACCAAGAAGAGCAGGCCTATATAATGGCAAGAAAATGACCGAGAGCTCAAGAGAGGAAATCAGACTGCAAAGATTCAACCGAGACCAGTTAAAACCAGTTAAAATGACTCAAGGATCTAGACTGTACTTTGCAGGTGAGCAAACCTTATGTCTTTCTCAGACTAACCTTTCCCTGCCACATTTTACACTTTACTTCTCCTCCCTCCTTCTTTACATCCCCTTTTCCATTTTCTGTTCATTCTTACTGGACTTTAGATGACCCTAATGTTATTTTTGAACGTTTTCTTTTTCTTTTTGCTTTTCAGTGGCTGTTCTGCTGTGTGCGTTTGTCACCATCAATGGTGTCGTTCTGAATGATTTACTGGAGCGAGCCTCTCAGCTTTCAGACAAACTTCACTCTCTCAGCACCTCTCTCACTAATGACCTGGTCAGTACCAAACACCCTGGTAAACGTGTTTATGAGGTGTTATATGCCCACTCACTGGGTTATTTGCAATATGTGACTTCAGTTTTATCCAAACAGGTATTTATTTCATTGATTTGATGTTGGTTGTTTAATATTAACCTTGCTTTCCTCCACAGGATTCTCACTTTCCTCCTGTTGGTAGGGTAATGATGCCCCGTCCGTCGATGTGCCACACATCCTCCCTTCAGATTCCCAATGACAAAGACCAAGCCCTGAAAGTCCCGGTAAGAGCACGCACCCGTCTTCATCTCTATCAAATGTAAAAAACTTTCTCCTGCACTCTTAGAAAAAAGATGTGACAGCTGTCACTCGGGTGATACCTTTTCAAAAGGTATTTTTAAAATAATTTCTTATTAAAATCATTATATTATATTATATATATAAACGCTAAAAAATGCTGGGTTAAATATAACCCAGCGCTGGGTTGGGTTGTTTTGACCCAGCGGTTGGGTTGTTTTGAACTCAACCGCTGGGTCAAAACAACCCAATAGCTGGGTTTGTCCCTTTTTAACCCAGC